ATCGCTTCTAGTAACAAGTGCCTTACTAGTAGTAACAAGAAGCTATTTGAAACGAAAATTAAATTAAATTGGAAAGATAGGCCTTTTACAAAATGGGCAAAGGTCGAAGCTGAGGATGGGGCAATGGCATTGTGATGGCTCGCTGCAATCACGTAGAAGATGCCCCACTTCGCCTTACACGCCGCAGCCCGAAAGCCACGTGGCTAAAGGACATGATATGCGCCAGTAGATGCGAACACGAGACCACAATTCTTGCAGGTCTTTCCAGCAGCATTGCCTTTGCCCTGTCAAATTGAAAAGACTGTCCATCGAACATCCTAGAGCAAAATCACTGGGCAGTTCTTTGTCCTGGCCTTACCCTTGGAACTTCCTTTGCTTCCACGCAAAGGTGGAACATTTTCTTTGTCCTGTGCACAGATGAAATATGATGGCCCCCTTGTGAAATGGCTGCTCCCATGTGTTCGACCCAACCTGTCGGCACTTCTTCTTCAAGTGTCCGACCTTGTCGGCTTTGTCAGTTTCGTCCGTTTGATGCACTAAAAATGGCAGCACCTTCAGGCCTTCACGTTCAATTGAAGCCGTTTTTTCACTCTTGACTCCGGAATGCTTCAAGCCAAGGGCATGCCACTCCTTTCCGTTGCATGAACAATTTATATGAGGTACGATCAAAACATATTCTGTGCGGCTGTTGCATGTTGCATCCTCAGATTTGTGAGTTCCCTATAGTTCCCTATCGTTTTCCAAAGTGAACTTTGTTAAAGGGTATCGCTTTTTTTGAGTCCCCTATCGTTTCCCAGGGGTTGGAGCATGCCCGCATATGAACGGACGCTCTTAGGCAATCGTAATCATCGCATTTGTTGAACGCACTTCATGTGTATATATATATATAATCATCCTGGAGTAGATAGAATCTACTTTCGTAGGGGGGCGTTTTTCTTCTGAAACAACTCAGGGTTTTTGACATCCCTTTCATTTTATGAAGACTGACCCTATAGATAGAATATAGTGATAAGATTCTTATCAACTCCTCCCATTCCGGTATTTTCTCCTTTGTTATTTTCATGTTCTGTTCCCATGTGTATTATCTAAGCTTTCCTTTCCTTTTTCTTTTCTTTAGAACGAACAGAAAATAGAACGAACAGAGAAGGAAAAGGACAACAAAGGAAAGGAAGAGAACCCCCTACAACCATATTCTATCTATGGGGTTTGGAAGGGCCGGTTTTGAGGAGTGAATTGTTTTTTGAAAATTCGTCCTATATGCATGTCATTGGATAAAAGATCTTAACCCACAGCTCTACACTATTGCCTGGGTTGAACTGAAGTTTGGCAGGCCTTCCCACAGTTCTCGCAATTCTTTTCTCGATGAGGGCACTCGGCAATCTCATGGACCGTGGCCTCAGCAAGTGAAATCATCAGAATCAAGGAATGCCGCCCGGCCCAGATTGGTCACCAAACCATGCCCCTTGTGCAATGCCCAGTTGCTGGCCCCCAGAATCAGGTACAAAACAAAGAAAGAATCGATCTCTCACATCATCTCAACAAACTGAGAGAACATATATATATATAATATTATATAATATACTTCTTGTCTCAAGTCACAGTACCAAGTCTTACAAGACACCCGTTGCTCCTAGCTGCTCCGCAGCAATGGCATTCAGCCGGCTGAGGGCAGTCTTTGGCAATGTGGCCCAGTGTGCCACAATTGTTGCCTGGGACGCCGGAAGAATCCAGGAAGACTTATCTAACCAGATTCACTACCGCTATCATTCCGTTTTGATCTGATGCTGATGACTGATGACTTGTTTACACGCGGAAGGGAGCTGAGAACCTGAGCTTTGGACAGGTCTTGTCCACGGACTTCTGAGCCTCCATGCGGCATTTGCTCCTCAACAGCCGAACGAAGGCAGCATGGCATGTATGCAAGATTATGCAAGCAGTGGTATGAAGTGCTCTTTACGGGCTGTCATTTACTGGACATCCTCAAACATGACCCAGGAGTTCTGAAGCTTTGCTGAGGCGCTTCATGTGGCCAACCTTTCCACAATAACCACATGTCCTTGGAGTAAAATGGCAACAACAGGAGTGCGACATGCAAGACAGCTGAATGCAACTGAAGAGCTCTTCCCGTTTTGGGCAGTCAGAGATCTCATGCTGAACAGAGCCACAGCCTAGGCCAAGGCTTCTCAGTGAGTGATGAGTCCATCTCGACTCTAAGATCGCCTTTTCAAAAAGAGAACGAAAACAGGACATGATCAACAATTGATGAAATGTGAAAAGACTTCGCCAGACATGATGATGTGGTCTGGCTTTCTTTACAGACTTTGCCACCATTGCTAGCAATCTTGCTGGCAAGTATCAGTGGCACTGCTTGTCTTCTTTACACATTCCAGCAATGTGCCCAACTCCGCCACAATTGTTGCAAACCCTTAGCAGTCGGATTGTCTCTTGCCCACTCTCCCAATGGCTTAAGTCACAACATCACATCCATCGATCCACCATGATCCACCCGCTTTACTGCCAAGGAGCTTATAGGCCTGGGTGGAACAACAAAGAGTGCAGTTCGGCACACTGACTGGGGGGGATTGATGATTGATGATCACAACTTGAAAGGATATCTTTAGCAGGCGACACAGCGACACAGAGAGAGAGAGAGAGAACTGGAAAAGCCTCCAAGAATCATGAGCGAGTTTACGTTTCAGCCAAGTTGCAGTGCTCTTTCCCTTGCCGCTTCCTCCTTTGACCATGCTGACAAAGGTTGCCCTGTACAGTAGACCGGCCGAGTCTTTCTAAATTCCAAAATTGACTGTAGCCAGAATGCCACCGGGCAGAAAATTTAGACCATGAATGAAGCAGCCAATCCTTCCTTGCACATGGTGACACATTCATCTGTGCTCAAGCGTAGTCGTTTCAAGAGATGTTTCAAGAAAACTTCAACACAAGCCCTAGTCATAGTCACGCCTCCTGGCTGTTGGCTGACAGCCTGAGTTCACCCTCTGCTACAAAAAATGTTCCTGCTACAACTACAGCCTTTGCAATTTCGGAATGGACATGCACATCAGCTCCCTGCAAGTGCCACGTTGACAGGCAAAGCCTTGTAAGCATCTGGCCTTCACACGTTACATTGGTGTCAAACATTGGCACAACTGGAGAAAGGAGACAGCCCGAAAAGCCCGCAATCCGTTTCGGACACCTCTAAGTTGAGGCTTGAGATTGAGAATGGAGCAAGGCTAATCAGGTACCCATGTGGCCGAATCTGACCCCCAATGACACAACGGGCCACTGTTCCTTGATGTCCCCAAGAAAAAAAAGGGTCCAAAATCACAACTCGGTCCTCGTGTCCGCAACATCATGGCCACCACGGCCTGGGAATGGAGAACGACCCTTCTGAATGGAACATGAAAGTGTGAGGTAGGCAACTCTCAAACTACATTGTGGTCGTACTCTGATTTCTGGTCAAGGCCAGCATTGTGTGTTTGTTTTAGTCTGTCATTGTCATTATATGCAAATTGGTTTGAAACATCCAAAAATCGAATCTTTTCTTCGAGCACACCCAGCATACTCGTCTGAGACCAATTCGAACAACTGCCGATGTTGTCTTCGGAGCTCTTTCTGTCGCTGAAGATGATTTGCCCGATCTTCCCTTATCAACATCTAGACTCAGTAAGCCAAATCAGGCTTAAGGGCCAAACGTCAACATCGAATGAAAGCTTGAGAAAGCATATGAAATATTACTAAATAATGTTAAAGCAGTCCAGATTAAAGTGGCTTCCTTGTACCGCCAAAGCCCCGAGCCGCTTCCGGATGGAGATGTCGCGCCAAGCCCCAAACAAAGCACAGAAGTATGCCTGCTTCACAATGCTCCAGTCTCTCAAGCCGGAGTACCCAAGCAGCCCTTTGCTCCTAGTAGCTTCTTGTTCCTAGTAGTTTGGCCAGGAGCAACTACAGTAGATGGACAAAATATTCAAACCCATGTATCAATAACTGTCGCCAACCCCTGACCCCCAAAGGTCAATGTTGAACATAACTTGATTGAATTTGTGTTTCCAGGGTTTGATTTGTTTCGTCCATTCGCCGAAACATTCTTGCAAGACCTCTAACATTGAGCTTTGGGGTAGAAGGGGTCCTCGTGGTTGAAAGGTTTTGAATATTTCGTCCATCTACACTGGGTGTGGGCGACCGGAGACCTACAGACGCACATGCGTGTGTTGTTTTCAAGTGATGCCGGGCAGTTCCAGCTACTGTTCTTACTGTTGCCATGCGCCGTGTCTGTTCCCAGTCCCTTTCCAGTGCCTTTTCCAGTGCCTTTTGCACTTTCTCGTGGCCCTGCCAGCAAAAATGTGTTTCTGGTAAGTTTTGTTGAAACAAAACGATAAGCTATCTCTTTTTAAAAAAAGTGAATCACATGGCAAAATCACTGGCAGGCGCACACAAACCGTGAAAAGGCACTGGAAAGGCACTGGGAACAGACACGGCACATGGCAACAGTAAGAGCAGTAGCTGGAACTGCTCTTCATCTGTCTTGCTTTCCTGACGTCTGCTGTCCTCGCTCGCAACGTGTCGATGTGAAAGAGTTGTTGAGCACAGAAGATTAAAACACAGAGTACTACGGATGAAGATGTTAGACTTGATACTTACGAGCCAAAGATATGCAAACGTCACACCTTTAGACGGTAGTAGCGTCCTTCCGCCTAGTAGCGATACCCTTTTTTCCTACTAGC